TAGAGAGAGTGTGTGTGTGTGTGTGTGTGTGTGTGTGTGTGTGTGTGTGTGTGTGTGTGTGTGTGTGTGTGTGTGTGTGTGTGTGTGTGAAACCCAGAGAAGAACCTGGGTGACAGAAGTCTTGTCCCAGTGAGTCAGCGTTGCTCTCCTCCCTTTAATGGTGGGTCCCTGCTTCTTTTTGGTGCTCTGAAAGTTGTCTGGAGGAAAGGATTCTAATTTTAATTAATTGTGCAGGGAGCTAATCTCATGAGCTTTTCTGCTTCAAGGCATTTTAGGAAAAACAAATGGTTTTAGTAGATAAAGGGAGCCTATTAATGTTTTGTTTTGTTTTTTTCCAAACAAACACAGGGACATTTTTACTATAGATTTGGTTTTTAATGGCTTTAAGAAAAATAATAGTAGTAATAGTAAATAAGATAGCAAAGCTCTGGGATTTGAGGGTTCCCACCCCCTTTTTTCTTAAGATACCAAGTAAGTGGCTAGCAATATTTTTTAAATTCATTCCAGCTGGGATTTTTTTAAATACTATATTGCCTAATTTTACACCAGCCAGAAAAAAATGATATCCACTGTGTCTTCTCCAGTGAGATGAGCACTTCGTTTTGGCACTACACTAGACTCACTGTGATTGGAAACTCACTGCCTGACTTAACTGCCTCTTCCTTGGAATTGACAATGTTTTTGAAATGCAACTAAGCTGTTAATAAATAGTGTGCGATATTCAAAATTAATGTAAACTGGAAGGTTTTATGTGGTTGCTTTTTTTAATTTTTATACTCTAAAATAAACTTGCAGTTTCATTCTTTCTGTGGTATGAATGGTTCTTGACTGCTAACAACATGGAAGATGATCATTTCTGGCTTAGCTTTCCCAATAAATGTATACCATAATAAAACGAGGAAACTGAAGAATATATTGGTGAAACTTCAAAATGTGGTGGGTATTTGGGGTTCTACTGGTGTGACTGGACTAGCTAGTGGGGAGAAATTATATATACAAGTTAGTGTGATGACACTGGAAAATGAGTCCTTCCTTACAGCATTCATTGTTCCACAAAAAGGCAAGTGGCTGCAATAACTTACAGATTCTTGCCACAAATTCAAAAACTGAACCTTATACTGGCATGCTTGAAATTTGTTTCAAACTGCCAAGAGAGCATCTTCATATCCCTTTAGGTCTACTTTAGAGCCACACATGTTGACTGAAACAACAGGGACAATGCATAGGAGTTGAGATGCCCAGTAGGCCTCCACCACCCACAGCCAAGAGAAGTGATTCCATCTTTGGTCAGAATCAAAATCCACAGGAAAATTTAAATGCAAATCTTCAGACCAAGATTTGGGTCATGTATTATTTCCTTGCCCCTAAAAGATGGAATTGTGAGGCAAGGGTATCCCAAGAACTTTGTCATATCCTACCCAGAGTGCTCTAAAGCACAATGCCCCAGATGTTTGTTCATGTACTCATTCTTCCATTTCTCATGGTGCCTTGTGAATCCCATTTTTGTTGATCTCAATAAGGAACTAATTATAATGTTCAAATCTAGAGCAGACATTGGCAGCCTTAATGTAAAGGGCCAGATAGCATGTTTGGCTCTGAAACTGCAAAAGACTCATAGATACTACATAAATGATTGGTTACAACTGTGCTCCAATAAAACTATATGAAAATAGGGAGCTGGTAGTTTTGACCTGTGGATTCCTAGCTAGTTTTGACATTGTAGACCCTAGTGGGTTTGTCAATCTTAAGCTTAGGCACTGTAGGGCAGAAACAGTGTTACAATGGTTTGAAGAAGTAGAACCCTTGAAGAACTCATGAGGCAGAAGGTCCAAGGCTCTGATTTAATTGAAATTGGCCTTACCAGTTCTTTTTCCAATGAATAAGAAAATACAGGATTGATAGAGACTTTCCTAATAAGATCCCAAAGCATTTGGGTTGAACAGAGAGAGCCTAGTTTTGCTGTTTGTTTGTTTGTCTTAAAAAAAAAAAAAAAGATCTGGTACCACTGGAGTCCCTCAAGGTCATAAACTTAGACAATGTCTCTGTTCAAGAAAAAGCATGTAGGTATGTGACCTGAAAAATCTTGTTCACCTCCATTTAGCTTACAACCATGGGCAGTATAAGTCTATCTATTCAAAGACTCAACTGGAGCCGGCAGTAGTGGCACACATCTTTGATCCCAGCACTTGGGAGGCAAGAGGCAGGTGGATATTTGTGAGTTCAAGGCCATCATGGTCTACAAAGTAAGTTTCAGGACACCCAGGGCTGCACCCTGTCTCAAAAAACAAAACAAAAAAAAAAAAAGACTAAACTGGATGAAAAGCATTAGATTGGTGCAAAGATGGTGTACCTAGTATTTATATTCATAAGAAAAAAAAAAGAACTATGCACCCACTGAGATTCAGGAGAAAGGTTGGTGAGAAATCTGACTCCATTAACATCCTGTAACCCAGCAAGTTCATAAGACATGAGAACCCCCAATTACAAGTAATGAACTCATTTAAAAGTGAGTATTGTCCATTATGAACAAGTCTTCAGGCCTGGATAGATGCATTTGATAAACAGCTGTCATTAGTAGTGTGTTTCTGGGAAGCTCCCAAAGCAATACTGTCTACTGTTCACCAGAACTGGGTAATATGACCTTATTGCTGAAGACACCATATGTGTTGGAAACAAGACACAGAAATGAACCTAGTTCTGAGGTGACAGTTTCCTCCCTGCTTGCTAGCTGTCTGGGTTAGGGTTTAGTATTGCTGTGAAGAGACACCACGACCACAGCAGCTCTTATAAAGAAAACATTTAATTGAGGCTGGCTCACTTCCAGTTTCAGAAGTTCAGTCCATCAAGGGGAGCATGGCAGTGTGCAGGCAGATGCGGTGCTGGAGCTGAGAGTGCTACATCTTGCAGGCTACAGGAAGTTGACTGACTCACACTGAGGGATGCTTGAGAAGAGACCTTAATACCCATCCCCACAGTGACACACTTCCTCCAACAGTGCACACCTCCTAATAGTGCCGCTCCCTTTGGGGTTCATTTTTTTTTTCAAACTACCACACTATCTACAGTATCAACAGTTGCTCCCAGCTACAGAGTCTGTACTATAGTAACAACCTGCCAACAAAATCTGGCCAACCAACCACTTCCCAACTAGAGTGAGACCTAGGACAAGGGGGAATATATGCCTCATACCAGTAAACCTTATCTAAAGTCTATGGCTGTTGTCTTAGTTAGGATTTCTATTGCTGTGAAGAGACATCATGACCACAGCAACTCTTAAAGACCACCACAGCTGTGAAGGTCAAGGGACTGGAGAAGAATGTACTACTGATGTTTTGCTAAGTGGGCACTGTAGGCAACCCGCCTCCTGAACACTCAAGTTTGTGCTGGGAGATTCACACTGATCGGAGCTGAGTCAGAGCAACTTCTTTTTGTAGAGGGTGAATAGTACGGAGACTTACAATTGGTCTCTGAGTACTGAAAATAAATGACTAGCCAGTGCTGAGCCCCAAATATGACATTTATTTCACCCCCTTTGGGAACATCTTGCAAGAAGAGGTGGGCAGATTTTAAGAGCTGAAGGATGGCAAGGAAAGCTATGAAATACAGCTTTGTTTTCTATGGAGGGTGTGGCTTTTGTGATCATGAACACACAGAAATTGTGGGTATCTGCACAAACAAGGCTTGCACACACACACCCCAAAAAAGGACATAAGGCAACTAATAAGAAAAGAGTCCATGGGAATGAGAAAGGGATAAGAGACAGTAATGAGAGGTGAATATTTGGATGGAGGTGGCGCACGCCTTTAATCCCAGCATTCAGGAGGCAGAGGCAGGTGGATCTCTGTGAGCTGGAGGCAAGCCTGGTCTATATATTGAGTTCCAGGATAGCAAAGGCTATTACACAGAGAAACCCTATCTCAAAAAACCGACAGAGAGAGAGACAGAGACACACAGAGAGACAGAGGGGGGGTGAATATGATTGCAAACATATTACATGTTACTTGTATATAAAATTATCAATTAAAAGAAGAATTTTGGGGCTGTTAAGAGCACTGGCTGCTCTTCCAGAGGAGCTGAGTCCAATTCCCAGCAACCACATGGCAGCTCACAACTGTCTGTGACTCCAGTTCAAGGGGTCTGGCATCCTCATACAGACATATATGCAGACAAAAACACCAGTGCACATGAAATAGAAATAAATAATTGAAAAGAATTTGCTTCTGGGCCTGTGGAGATGACTGTGGAGATGACAAAAACAAGCTTGGGGTTCTGAGTTCAAATCCCCAGAACCCACACAAAAGGTACATAGGTTAAGACCCTGTGATCCTAACACCCCTACAGGGAGATGAGTGGCAGAGACTGACTGGCTAGCCTAACATACTTGTGGAAAGAACAAGAAAAAGGCCTGTTTCGAAGAAGACAAAAGGCAAGGATTAAAACTCAAGGCTGTTGTCTTCTGACCTCCACGTGTGCACCATGGCATATACACACCTACATTCACACACATACAAATATATACACAGACACATTTAATTTTTCTCTTCCAATTTCTCAGCCCTGTTTTGTTCAGTATTGGTTTCATGGGAATGAAGAGACAGTCCTCCCTATTATTTATAGACAATCCTTCAAACTAACTCATGATTAGACATCATTGATCATGTAGCTATTACTGTGGGTTGAATCCCTTGATTGACAACACCACCAATATTATATGGAGTAGGAAAGGGGCAGTTTCTATGTGAAAGAAACTGTTTCTAGTAGCAGTCAAAACCTCAGTGTATCTATTGGGAAGCTTCACTGAGGAAAGGTTCACAACTAA